TGTTTTCTGCCACCAGATTCTTGCATGGCAGAGAATGATTTCTTCCTCTAGCACAGCGGTTCTCAACCTTCCTCATGCCGCAACCCTTTAATACAGTTCTTCATGTGGTGGTGACACCCCAACCAAAACATTATTTTCGTGGCTACTTCATCACTAATTTTGCTGCTGTTATGAATCGGGCGACCCCTGCAAAAGGGTCGTTCGAGAGGACCTAATGTCGGGGGTTTGAGTGGAGAGAAAATGTTTTGAGAAACGATGTACGAATGTGCTTTACACAATTGATGTGTGTATGGATTGGGATGACAGTTGTATGAGCCCCTAATAAAGTGTTAAAAAAAAAAAAAGGGTCGTTCGATTCCCAAAGGGGTCGCAACCCACAGGTTGAGAACTGCTGCTCTAGAAGGCAGAGCCTAAGGCCAGCTCCTGCCCAGCTCCTGGGACAGAGCTCAAGCTCCTAACTCTGACAGGCTGGGTCAAAGCTGGGTGACCTTGGATGGGGGACTCACCTAGATGAGCAGCAGTGTCTTCCTCTGAACAATGAGAATTCTGATCCCTTGGTCACCATCACTGGGGATACAATAGGTCCCAGAACTAGAGTCGGTAGATGCTGACATGAGGGTGCTACTTTGGATCGATTGAGTTAAAGAAGTATATTATTTAATTTCCCCTTAAATTTTTTTAAATGTAGCTATTGGAAAATTTGAAATTTCGTATGTGGCTTGCATTATATTTGTATTGGACGGTGGAGTGCTAGTTAGAGAGTTGAGTTGGGTGCATTTAAAGAATACATAACAGAGACAGGCATTCCCAGGTGGTGCAAAATGGTTAATCTCCTCACCCAAACCGAAAGGTTGGAGGGTCAAGAGTACCCACAGGCAAGCAGGAAGTAAGGACTGTGATCTACTTCCCCAACTGTCTTCGGTTTCTTTCTCTCTCTCACTCTCTCTCTCTCTTTCTTTCTTTTATGGCAGCTGGTTGGTGTAAAGTGTCTCTGTTTAGGGAGGTTAAAAGCAAACTGTGAAGTTCAGATGTATTCCCTGCCCCCACTCCCTCCAGCCCATAGCCTAGCACCTGTACCCTGCTGGGGAAAGTTTCCATCTGCTAGCCTCAGGGATAAGATCAGGGTTCTGAGGTCAAAGGAGAAGCCAGCATCTAGGCTCTCATTCTGGCCACTCCGCTGGCTTGCTGGATGATGCTTGACAAGTCCTTTCACTTGGCTGAACCTTCGTCTATTGCCCTTGGCCTCTCAGCGGTGAACCAAGGCTCATGGTTAGATTGAGGGATTGGGGGGCATTACCTGAGATACAGTCCAAGCGAAGCACTCAGCACAGTTCTGGGCACACGGTGGACAGTCAAGCGTTAGCTGGGGGGTGGCGGGGGTGGTGGTGAGGGGGGGGTTGCTGCTACGGTTGCATCCCTCAGCTCTTGCTCACTCACTCCACTGGTCTGAATGGGCTTGGTGGAGGGAGTTGGGACAAGGACTGGGGGAATGTCTTGCACTATATCTTTTGTAATACACCTGTAGGGATGGCTTGCCTTTGGAGTTATGCTCTGGTGGCGAAAGATTACGTCCCCATTTTACAGATGAGGAGACTCAGGCTTGTTGGAAGGGAATAACCTGGCCATCCATTCACGACCTGAATTCAGGGCTCCCCAAACCAACGAATATGGAGCCAGCATTCAGAGGTGCATTTTGGGAGTATAGTAGCAGGGCCTGGTCATTTTTATTTTTTGGAAATGCTATTATTAATCTCATAATGACGGAATCCAGGCCCCATTCAGTACCAGCGTCTCATTCTTGAGCAAAAGCAACAGAGACCTGAGTGTGTAAGCGTGCATATGCGTGTGTGTGTGGGGTGGTGGTGGTGGGGATGCTTGGGCAGCAAGTTGGTGGCCAGGCTGGAGTTGTTGTGTTTGTTTAGATCCAGCCCTACCTCAGCCCTGGCAGGATGGATGGCCCTGCTGTCAGCCCCTTCCCCTCCTGCCCAGTCCCAGGAGAGGGCTTCTGAGAAAGAGGCTTTTGTAGTACCTGCTCCTTCTGGTTTCCTCTCAAGGTAGCTTTACCCACCTAGGACAACCGCCCCACCCCCAACACACACACACACACACACACACACACACACACACACACAGATTTGCATTTGTCCATATTCCCAGCTTAAAGGGCCATGACATCTGAGGCGCCTCTGCACACATGTACTTTCTGGATGTCAATGGGGCGGGCAGAGGCGTTTTAAATGAAGGAGACCTGGGTTCAAATCCCTCTTCTACCACTGATGCTTGGGCTCCTGGTGGCATAATGGGTCCCATGTCGGGCTGCTGACCAGAGAGGAGGATTTCTACTCCTGTAAAGAGCTATAGTTTCCGAAACTACGGGGGCCGGTTCTGTTCTGTCCTGTGGGCTCACTAGGAGTCTGGCACGACCCCATGGCAGTGAGTCTCTGAGTCTGAGTACCACTGATGCTCCCCATGGCCTTGGGCAAACCACTTAGTTTTTGGCCTTCATTTTCTTATCTTAAAAGCAGGTGCCAAAATGGTTTCATGCAGCCCAGTTCGTGGGGCAGAACCCATGCTCTAAAGCAGGGTCCTGTTTTTCTGCCAAGGACCATTCGGATATTTTGAACATCCTTCTTGGGCCATACAGGTCAAACACTTAATTACTTCATCCCTAATGCGATGGAACGGCTTCTCGGCAAGGTATGCATGGGGTGTTAGCTGCTATCAATTTTGTGGACTGGATGTGCCCCGCCCCTACTCCAGAGCCTTTCTGCCAGTGTGGGATGTCCAGCTCAGCCACTTCCTCACTGTAGCCCTTGGTGAGCTTTCTGGGACTAGCAACTGTAAACAGAAGCTACTGCCTCTTGGATGATTGGAACAAGGCACTGTGCCAGTTCTCACTTGCATCCTCTCATTACCCCCTACCCCCAAGTAGGTTTATTACTCTTAGTTTCCAAATGAAGAAACTTGGAGAAGTAAAGTGACTTGCCTCAGGCCACATAGCCCAGAATTCAAACCAGCTCTCTGTGACTCCAGAGCCCCAGCGAGTCACCATTGTGCTGCACTGCCTCCCAGGCACGTTCACCCACTGGCCTCCCTGGTGATCCTGGGTGCAAGGAAACAGTGGCTAGGAGGCAGGCTGGAACCTGCCAGGTGGCTGATATTCTAGCTGGAGTCAAGTGTCCTGAGGTCTGGGTCAGTCTCTGGCATGGGGCAGAGAGAGAGGGCTTTCACATAGTCAGCTTCTGTGCCTGCTGGTTCAACCCCAGCCTCTAGGGGCCTTCTTCACCGTATTCTTGTGTTTCCTATGAAGCAAAGTAGAAACACTTTATCCCACTCGGAGGTTACTGGTCAGAGTGTGAGTCCAGGGCTCCTGATACTTCTTCCGCCAGCTAACCTGCCCCACTGCGTATTAGGCTGGGCTTGCAGTTGGGGCTTAAAGAAGATTCAAAAGGGGCTTCAATACGCTGAGTCAATTAGGCCAGCACAGAATTGGTGCGATAACAAAACAAAGCAGAAGACTCAAGGATCACCGAGCCCAATCATATTGATTTCTCAGATGGGGAGACAGGTCAAGAGGGAAATGGATGTTTTTTTCTCCTGGCTTTTGGAGATCCCTGTACTGAGCCAGGAGGGTCCGACGGGCCTGTTCTCCTTCACACCAGTCCCAAGCCAGCCCAGCACCAAGTTCTGTGGGTGCCACTTCTTAAATAGCTCGTGATATTTTCTACAGTAGATATTTCTGTCTCTACTGCAGTCACCCTAGGCAAGGCCCTTGTCACCGCTGCCCTGGACAGTCACAATATCACCTAACCGGCATTTCTTCCTTTTTTTGTTTTTAATCATTTTATTAGGGGCTCATACAACTCTTATCACAATCTATACATACATCAATTGTGTCCAGCACATTCATACATATGTTGCCATCATCATTCTCAAAACACCTGCTTTCTACTTGAGCCCTTGGTATCTCCTCATTTCCCCCCTCCCTCTTCGCTCCCCCCGAACTCTTGATAATTTATAAATTATTATTATTTTGTCATATCTTACACCATCTGATGTCTCCCTTACCCACTTCTCCACTGTCCATCCCCAGGGAGGAGGTTATATGTAGACCTTGTAATCTGTTCCCACTTTCTCCCTTACCTTCCCTCCACCCTCCCGATATCGCCACTCTTACCACTGGTCCTGGGGGGGGTTCATCTGTCCTGGATTCCCTGTATTTCCAGTTCCTATCTGTGCCAGTGTACATCCTCTGGTCCAGCCAGATATGTAAGATAGAATTGGGATCATGATAGTTGGGGGGGAGGAAGCATTCAAGAACTAGAGGAAAATTGTATATTTCATCATTGCTACACTGCACCCTGACTGGCTCATCTCCTCCCCACAGCCCTTCTGCAAGGGGATTTCCAATTTCCTACAGATGGGCCCTGGGTCTCCACTCGGCACTCCCCCTCATTCACAATGCTATGATTTTTTTTTTGGTCTTTGGTGCCTGATTCCTGATCCCTTTGACGCCTTGTGATCTCACAGGCTGGTGTGCTTCTTCCATGTGAGCTTTGTTGTTTCTCAGTTAGATGGCCCCTTGTTTATCTTCAAGCCTTTAAGACCCCAGACGCTATATCACTCGATAGCCGGGCACCATCAGCTTTCTTCACCACTTTTGCTTATGCACCCACTCTAACTGGCATTTCTAAAGCTACTCATGTCCCCTTTCCAGCAAACCATGGTTTCTCATGGCTGTGGTTAGAATAAAGACTCTTTACGTTGGACTCCAAGGCCCTGCCCAGCCTGGTCGCTTCAGCCTCATGTGTGTGACTTTCCCCTTTGCTTTCTGTGTACAGTCCGTCACACAGGCCTTTCTGTTTAACAGGTTCCGCAACTTCCCCAAGGTTCCTCCCGGGTCAAATGCCAGCCTCTCAATTTCCAGCTCCATGCTGGACCCACAGAGTTGCTGAGTTTTGTTTGTGTGTGAAGGTGCTCACACTGTTTCCTCCTTCTAGGTGCCTGACTAACGTGCCAACCCGCTGGGAGCTGGTGTGGACGGACAGAGGAGGGGTGAGTGTTACAAAGGCTCTGCCTTGGTCTGCTGCCAGGGGCTGGACACAACCACCTTGCAGGCTCAGAGCCTCTCTCTTTGGATATATTTTACTGCTTGGGAGGCAGGAGAGGGTTTTTCTAGGCTACAGGTTTCTGGAGGATTTGAAGGAGGTCAGTGCCGAGGAGTCTCCTGGTTTTGAGGGAGGGGCTGGAACGCACACTTAGGAAGTCCCCCGGGGGGTGGACCTGGAATCTTGTTTTTCATTTGCTCAACTACCCCTGGGTTGCAGACTGGATGCAGGAGAGGCGGCTTCATTCTGGCTCTGCCACTGGCTATTCTGTGACCTTGGGCAACTGCCTTCCTTTCTGTTCACCCTAGTCTTCCTGTGTGTACATCAGGTCCCAGAGGTGGGGGGGTGGATCAGACCAAATGAATTATTTTCAAACTCTCCAGCAGAGAAATCACCCGTTCAGACGAATCCTAGAGAATCTGAAAATATAAATCAGTGAAGGGAGTGGCAGCCCTAATTGAGGCTGTGGTGGGGACTCTTTTAATTGGTCAGTTCTTCAGCCCCCACCCCTGACTGCCCAGACCATGCCACTAAGTTCTTGTTCGGCTCTGTGCAGACTACTTTGGAAACCACTGGTCCAGTGAATTGCACACCCCCTGTCCAACTCAGGGGTTCTGTGACTTGGGGAGGGGATGGGGTTAGAGAGGCAACTGAGCCCATGAAAAGTGATATGCAAATCGCCTGCAGTGTTCTCAGCAAAGTACAGGGCCAGAGCTGAGATGGTGTCATCGAAACACTTTGGCCTTTATTTTTGGCAAAATGCTTCTTTAGTGGACCTTTCTTGTTCTGTGGTGTGTGTTGGTTGGCTGTGGAGGGCCAGGCACTATGAGCACGGGAACGGAGACGGGCATCTAGTGGGCTGGGCCCAGCTGGGACAGGTAGATTGAATGAGGACCAGACCTGGGAGCATGTTGCTCCTGCTCCTGCTTCTGGGAGTGGTGCAGGTGTGGGGAGGGTGACATTAGCTCCAGTTAAAGGGAGGGATTTGGCTCCTTCCTGCCAGCATATGGGTCTATGGGGCTCTCTGGGCAGGAAGCTCGGGGAACAAGGAATCCTCTGTCCACAGGCACCGTGAGGCCAGGATACAGGCTGGATTAAGGGTTCCCAGGAGGAGGTTAGCCTGGCCTTTCCTTGACATTTGGGCAAAGGGTAGGGAGGCGGGAATTCAGTGTGTGGTTGTGGGTGGTGTGTAAGGGCAAGTAGAGATTGGTTCATGTATTTATCCTACAAGTTCCTGAAGCTTCCTGCAGCCCTCTAAGCTCAGAGGCAGAGGGTTCTGTAGGGGCAGAGCCTAGAAAATCGAGTCTCTAGGCTTTACCCACTATCAGTTCACAAGAGGAGACGGAAGTGGGAGTGCTGACAGATTTTCACAGGCATCCTGGTGCAGGGGAAGTTGACTGCTGAGGAGCTTTGGCTCTTATGGTGACATCTTATTTCTTTGAGTGTAGGGATCAAGTGCTCTGTGGCTTTGGCTTCATCGGTCTCCCTCTCTGAGACTTGGCTTCCTCTTCTATAGCTTGGGAATATGTGGACAAGTCAAAAAGCATTGCTACTTGGGTTATACCTCACACACGTACAGGTTTATCCCAAACAAAACATGTTTAAGCATGTCTCTGAGACAAGTTCTCTCAGTAATACATTCCTCTTAGCCTTTTAAACCAAAAAACTTGTGGGGGAATCCAGCCCCTCACAACTATATCATCACAGGCCCGATAGGTGCAATAAAGATTATATAGTAAAGTCATAAAGAATAAGAGAGATAGAAGAGAAAGTAAAATAAAGGAGTCAGACACATTTCATGGTAGCATGCTCACATCCTGAACATCCATGATCTTACCAGCCAGGTCCATGCACAGTGCAGGCAGAAAAGGCAAGCGAGTCTCTCTCTTTATTTCTGGCCAAGGCCCATATATACTTAGGGGCATGATTACAGGTAACCACACACGTCACAGGAAGGGGCTGTACAATAGGCACAAGCATGATAGGAAGGGGATGCGCTAGGGGTGTACACATAATAGAAAGGGTAGGGACTAGGGGTGTACATGTGACAAGATGGGTGGACTCTAGACTCAATATGGCAGCCTAACCTTGATCACTCTTGAGGGTTTGACCTCCTAGGCCCTCCTTCAGGGAGACAATCTACTATCCTTATCAGAAGAGAGTCCTACTTAGGGTGGGACAGACTATACAGTCCGATTGCTTTATGTGTTAGTCTGGATACATTAGAGAAACAAATCCACAGAAACTCATGTATAAGAGAGAGTTTTATATAAAGGGTAAGTGCACATCAAGAAAACATCCCAACCCAGTGCTGCCCAAGTCCACAAGCCCAACATTAGTCCATATGCCCAACACCAATCCACAAAGTCCTCCTCCATTTCACAAAACACACGCAATGATGCCGACTGCAGGAGGAAAGTTGAATCAGTGAGCCTGTAAGCATCTCAGAGCTGGCAGGGGTCTCCACACGGCTGCTCCAGCACCCAGGGCTGTATCGGGGTAGGTCCATGTGGCTTCTCCAGAGGGATATCTTGCAGAAGTCATCCTTGCCAGCTGAAGCAGGGAACTGGCTAAGGCAGCTGCACCCTGGTCTGACCATCAGAAAGCAAGAGACCTGAGAACTAGAAAGGTGAGGCTCACTGAGCCATTTATCTCTCCACCCTTCAATTAGCCCCACATGTGTTTATTGGCCAGGTTGGCACAATAAACTTTAACTATCTCACTTTAGATGGGTGATAACCCTTAGGGAGAATAGCCTCTGACCTCCTAGTGTACAGTCATTTACCATGTGTAGCAAGCAGCATCTTCAGTTTGGCATATATTTGGGGGAGACAACTTGGGAGAAATCTTTCTGTAGCCCACAAAAACTCACTGCCATCGAGTCGATGCTGACTAATAGACACCCTTTGGGACAGGGTAGAACTGCCCCGGTGAGCTTTTCAAGGCCATAACTCTTTATGGGATTTAGAAAGCCCCATCTTTCTCCCAAGGAGTGGCTGGTGGTTTTGAACTCCTACTCATAACCACCACGCCACCAGGGCTTCTAGCCTTGTTAGGGTTCCTTCTCCCCAAAGGGATACTTTTGGTGCCATGGGGGGAAAATGATGTTGAGGTCAGGGCTATTATCAAATCTTAAACAAAACTCAAGGGGGCATCTTCCCAAATTGTTGAAGCTTTACAACAAGTTTATGGGAATGCTGCCCCACAAAAAAGTCACAGTGTTTAGATTGATCAACCATTTAAAGGAGGAGGGGGCTTTCGATTCCTGTGGAGAGTTCCAGTCTCGGAAACTCACAGGGGTAAGTTTTACCCTGTCCTATAGAGTCGCAGTGAGTCAGCATGGATTCCATGGCTGTGAGTTTGGTTTGTTCGGAGCAGTGGTTCTCAACCTTTCATACAGTTCCTCATGTGGTGGTGACCCCCCCAACCATAACATGATTTTCGTTGCTACTTCATCACTGTCATTTTGCTACTGTTATGAATCGGGCAACCCCTGTGAAAGGGTCGTTCGACCCCCAAAGGGGTGGAGACCCACAGGTTGAGAACAGCTGGTTTGGAGGCCAGTTCTCAAAGATAAGCCAAGGGAGGGAAGACCGTCCACTTTGGTGAATGAAGAAACTGTGGCTGAAGTCCAGAAACCGGTGGAAGGAGACTGTAGAATTGTCATGGATGCGATAGCCACTGAAGCTGGGATCTCACATAGTTTGGCATTTTCAGTTTTTAGTGAATATTTTGGCCTCAGCAAGCTTCCGGCTCAATGGATGCCAAATGTGTTAGCTCAAAGAGCTGATCAGTCTCTTAAGCAAAATTGAAGCTAATGAAGACACTTTTATGAATCAAATGTTAAGTGGGAATGAATGCTGGATTTACCAATATGATCCGGAGAGTGAGATTTAATCAAAGCAGTGGCCTTTAAAAAGCAAACAAAAAAACTCCAACAGTGGCCTCTAAGGGGATCTATTGGGCCTGTTCGAGGCACAGAGGTCCTCTCAGAAGGTTACAGCGACTGTGTTTTGGAACCCCAAAGAGGTCAACTTGGTGGATTTTCTTGAAGGACACAGGAAAATCATAGGAGCTTCTGATGAAGAAGTTTTAAGACAATTGGAAACTGTGCTGCTGAGCAAAAGGCCCGGTGAGTTGTGCCAAGGAATATTTCTTCATCATAACAAACAATGTGCCTGCTCGTTCTTCACGGGTAGAAGGCTGCTCTGTAAGGATGACCTTGGGAAACCTTACTCCATCTGCCCTGGACAGCCTTGATTTTGCTCCTTCAAACGTCTTTTGGTTCCCCAGAGTCAAAGAACATTGAAAAGGAACATGGCCAGAGCCCCTCCAGGATGCCCCACTCTGCTATTGTGTGTTGGTGGAAACCGATGTCACAGAATTCTTTGGGGAAAGGTTAAAGAGATAATGTCACTGCATTCAGAAGTGTACAGACACATGGAGGACATACCAAGAAACAAAAGTTTCACATTTTGATTTTTGGTTAATACAATTACCTGTGATTTTATAGCAATATTTCTTGACTCACCCTCATACACATCAGTCCTGAGTGTGCTTCTGAGTGTCAGTCAAGACAGTCTTTCAAATATTTTTAGGCAGTGGGATCATTCTATGTAAGCATTTACAGCACAGCTTTGCTGGTTGAATCTGGGACATTTACCCAGACAGAATCGGGTCTTGGCAGTTTACCTAGAATCCTGGGCGGCTCTTGGTGATAACTGGAGAGTCCCAGGGCTCCAGGGAGCAGTGTTGTACCACCACCGTGCCAGAGTGATTCTTTTTTTTTTTTGGTTTGAGGGAAGGTTTCCAAAGCAAATTAGTTTTTTGCTCAACAATTTATCTACATTTTTTGTTTCATTACATTGGTTGTAATTCCCTCAATGTAACAGTACTCTTCCCACTTCCTCCCTGGATTCTCCGATATCCATTCACCCTTCTCTCCTG